ATGTATAAAACTTCAAAAGAATTAAAATCAAAACAGATAATGTAGAATTTTTTCTCTCTCTCAACTTCTAGAAAAATCAAATCACTGTATCAAAGGTAAAATACCTACTTCAATGCCAAATTACACAACTATTTTTTACAGGTGATCTTGGCCGCCATGATGAGCCACATGGCTTGGATCAGGGGGTCCTCTGCTTTTCCTACAGTACCCTCTATCTTGTGATCCTTGCCCTGTACAGTCACGTTCCAGGACTCTCCAGCCATCAGGGTAAGGGCCTGCATGGCCTGATCGCCTTGACACTTGTTGTCTAGGGTTGGCAGCTCGAAGGCTGCCTTCTGCAGCACCCCATGCAGCTTATGCTTCAGAGCTCTCTTGGAGGGCAGGACATCATGCTTGTCCCAGCAGCTCTGCACAACAGCGGTACAGCAATCCAAACACCATGCACGGGGGGTCCTGTGTGGGCAAAAGTCATGAGGCTCACAAACAAAACTCCATCCTCTGCAGCTGCCTGCAAGTTTTCTTTAGTCACCCACCAGTCCGGTCTGACTTCTTCGAGCAGCTGCAGCACCATGAAGTTGTTAGGAAGATCCTCTGGTGCGCCATCAAACTTCTGCAGATGAATACCATGAAAATCTGATAAACTACAGATTGTTATGGAAAGGCTACGGTGAACCTTTCAATTAATTACTCACCTGGCGACATGTAGGGCAGCAGTTCTTGTCAGACAACCGCTGCATGCACTGGAGGCACACTGTGTGCCCACACGGCATTACTTTTGGTACCCGCTTGTCTTTGTCAAGCTGTTCTAGGCAGATCGTGCACTCCAGGGTGGGACCCTTTCCAAAATTACTCTTATTGCTGATTGATGTGGAAGATTGACCGTCATTTGCAAAAGCACTGCCAAAGACGGGGAAGCTAAAATTTGGCTTGGTAGTTGAGCTTGTAGTCGCTCCTGAGCTTGTGCTCCCTCCAAAACCTTGGACATCATTTGAAAAGTGGAAAGCATAGTACTAAGTAGGTATGTTAATATAAAAAGATTTTGTATAAATGCGACACTTACCAGCTGATGTGGAAGGAGTCCCGAAGGTAAAGGATGAAAGCGGGGCTTGGGTCCTTGTTGGTTTGCCAAAGAAACCATCTCAAAACATATTGAACAAGATTAAAAATATGTTTGGAGCTGTGAAACACTGTGTGAAGAACCATATTATACGTACATATATATACATTA